TATGCGCCTTTAAAGATTTTCCCCATCCTGCACAAAGTTTAAAGGCGCATCCCTTTGTCCAGAAAAAATATCTCGCCACGCGATGTATTGAAATGCTTTTACAGTTATGTCGCGATATGCTTTGAAATACATTTCGCGACGCTCATGCATTGAATTTCGAGGGCGCGGAAATGCATTTCAATACATATTTTCGCTACATGAATAACCCCATTAAAGATATTGGCCGCTTGCATATCGGTTTTTTGAATGGTACATGGTCAGGGAAAGTGCTAAATTCATGAAACTTTGTTTTCTGGGGTCATTTTGGATTCTGAATCGAATGACGTTTACAGTTTTTTTGATATCTCTTCTAGTTTTTTTTTTCTGCGCGCCCAAAACCAAGGGGGTCTTAAAGATATTGTCCGCACTGTATACCTAATAATCCGCCTACGCTTTTTATTATGATTAACCAGACCATATTATTTCTGTTTTCAGACAGAGGAGGTCCTTCAAGATATCAACAACAACCCAAAAAGGTTATTGAGCAGGACCCGAATTATCGTTCTTCAACATTTAACGGTGGGATTAGTGGAGCTGCTAATGACGATGGATCCTTGGTAAGTTTTCTTTTTTTTTTCATTCTAAAATGTTTTTGTCTGCTTCCATACTTCAGTCTGACTCTAAATTTTTCCAGGAACCGTCAAGTTCATCTCGAACATACGATAATCAACCATCGTCGAGGACTCGCTGCCACCGATCTCCAACACCGTCGCCAGAACGTCGCCGGGAAAATCCTGTTGCAGAGAGATCAACAATACGAGATGAAAGTACGCAGAGACGCTCAGAGAGCCCCCCTCCTGTCACTCGCGAAGTGTTCGATCCATTTGGAGGAGGCCCTCCTCTCAATCAGAAAACAGAAGATAACCGTGGCAACAATCGAGGTAGAGGATTCGGAAATGGAAATTTCAGCAGCCTAGCGAAGCCAGTGGCTCGAATCGATCATATCGGAGATACATCGTCAGAAAGTGAGTTCTCTTCTGAAGGGTCGTACTCAGATGAAGACGAGGAATACAAGAAGCAGAAAAGAATTCAACGAGACGAAAAAAGGAAAAGAAAACAGGAGAAAGAAATGGAACGGCGGGAAAGGCATAAGAATGAACCACCTAAGAAAGGTTAGATAACAGGAATACTTTGTATACCGTAAATATTTTATTAGAAACACTGTGCATTTTTCATGTCGCTTCTTATCTTTGCAGCTTCCTCCCGTTTCAATACGGCCTACAGCCCGCCGCGCCGGCGTACACCATCACCGAAGCCTCGACGGAATGTTTCAGCAGAGCCAGAGATTCCCAGTCCACAGCCTCAACCAACTCAAAATCAGACACCATCTCCCTTTTTGGGCCAAGAATCCCCTCCATCTATTGATAACGATCGTATGGATGATTACATGCCACCGCCACCAGCGGCTCCTGTAGTCAGACAACTGCCGCTTGCTGTCTCGTCTTCGCGGCACGATGCCGAACACATGACTGCTCAGGTACCATATCGCCCAGCCGAAGGCGTTCTGGAAAGAAACAAAGCAGAAGAAGAGAAGAAAAAACGAAGACAAGAGATCGATGACGTTCGCATAGAGAGTGAAAACAGACAACCACCTACTCAACATCCATTTTTAACCTCTTCAAGAGCGAAACCGACGACGTCCCGCAATCCAGAGCAAGGGTATAGTGATCCGGTGACTACAAATGGGTTTGCCAGACGAAAGTGGGTTTTGGTCTCTAACCTCTAATCAATTTGTCGCTTTAGTGTTGCCCAACCGACCTATGCTGCTACAATGGCAGCCCAAGCTCCGCCGGCGCCTCCAGCACCAGCTCCACAGCCTTCTCCAGTTCCACCACCAGTGTTTCCATTGCATGCTCCAATGCAAGCTCCATTACAGGTTCCAGTGTCAAGGACCAATTCAGTAATCAAGATCATTTTGAAACCGAGGTAGATTGAGAATTGAGATTGATTGAAATCAACTCGGCTCACTTTCAGTATCCTGGAAGAAATAGACAAGGAAGGCGGCCACCTCAACAGGGGTTATCCATTGCCTCCTCAGCAGTACCCACCACAAAATCAGTATCAACCTCCTCTACAACAACAGATTCAGCAGCCGAATTATCAATATCCGCAACAAAATCAGTATCAACAAGGTCCACCGCCGCCACAGTACCCAATGGAAACTCCTCAATACAATCCCACTCCTCCACCTCCTCCTCGTGCTGAATATTCAAGTAATTATCCTCCGCCACAAAATCAAATGAATCGACCCCCGCAGCAATCGTATCAAGATCAGCAATACTCGAGAAATCAGTACTCGTCGAATGGAAATTGGTCAAATCCAGCGTATCCTCAACAGCCCCGCTCTCCACCGTTGCCAAATGGACCGCCTCAGGATTACAATCGTTGGAGAGATAGAGATCCTCCGCCACGACAACCACCACCGGCAACGTATGGAAGACGTGACGTTGGCAGACCATCGCTTTCCACTTTTTCACTTCTTGCCGAAGAGGATGACAGGAGAGCAGCGCCCCAACGACCAGATGTAGGAAGGATGAGGGACATCATCATGTCGATAGCGTACAATTGCAGGACTAAAGGTTGTCAACTTGATGTAAGTTAATTATTCTACCAGCATAAGTATGGTCTACTCCGAATTTAGAAAGAACGATTGAAGTATGAAGTTTGCCAATCTCGCTTCCAACAGCACTTCCCCGGCGGTCCCGAGTGGTTCGACTTCACTTCCTTCATCCGAAATGAGTTGAGAGGTACAATGGAGGTCAGAGGGAACGAAAACGGCGCAGTTTGGTATGAATTGCTCCGCAATTGAATAACTTTTTTTATTGCCAGTTTTCTTGTAGTCATACTTATCCTCTGGTTTCCAACTATCATCATATTCTATTTATTTATTAGCATCAATCTTCCTTTTCGAGTATTCTATGAAATCGCATTTCCTTCATCGGTGCAATATAAATTCGTGTATTTGATTCTTGTTTTCAAATGTTTATAAAAACGGGGACATGAAAAACCGGGAACAACTCTGAAGATAATACTGCGGGGAATAGCTTCGATTCGGGGTCAAAAACTCGGGAGGAAATTTAGAAAAAAGAGGAAATTGCATTTTTTGCGATACGTGTTTTTTGGGGGAAGGTATATCAAAAAGGAACTCGGTTGAAATTGGAACGAAGGCACTGGTGGGGGTGGGAGAGCATGCACGTCTTCAGAATTTGGAGGATTGCTTCGAAAAGAGTGATGGATTCAAAACATTGCAGTGGGGCAATATTCTGAATTCAAAACACAAAATGGGTTCATATTTACAGCTGAAATTATACTAGAGAGGTTTAGAAAAACGGGGGAACAGGGAGCAGCTATATGTAGGAATACAAGGAACAGAATGACAGAATTTGCAATGTTTGGAAGGGATTGTGAGAAACGTATAACAATAGAAAAATATATGAATCAGTGAAAAGGAGAAGGTAAAAAAGCAAAGCACTACACGACGGGTCTGCTGCAGCTAACAGGGAAACTTGAACAAATTCAGGCAATTTTTGATTTGGAAAAGATCACAATTCGAATGAAAATGATGTGGTGTTTCTGTGGTAAAGAGCGTATTGGGAAACAGAAGAAACGAAGGGCAAGTGGGGACATGAAAATGTAGAAATCTGAGAATTTTTGGAGGGCAAAACACTAGACAACGGGACATGAATCCTGAGAGGATATGTATATAGAGGGGACAATTATGGTTGGGCAATATAGTTTTTTGGTCTCTGTGAAATAAAATCTTTGACAATCAGCATGAACAATGATTGAGAAGCTCCGACTGTGGTCCTTCTTCTGGTTGATACATGTGATAGATACTTGTGTACTGAAAAAAAGAAAATCATTAGAAAGTACGACTTTTGTTCATCATACCCCGTTCAGATGCTCCAAAGTGGGCAGAATGTCTAATAACTCCGTATCGGCTGGATCATCAAACCATGTCGTGACAGGAACCTTGAAAAATGGATTACTGTAACTGACATTATAGTTTTTTGACTTACAGCATTTTCAGGATGGAAAGCATAACTAGCTGGAGAGTTGTCAATTATTAAACATTGCTCCAGATTCCTTCCCAACCGACTTAGATCTGAAATTTAGAAGTTAGAATAGAATGTAATTGGGTTCCCTTATACTAACCTTTGACATAATTACCCTTGTGGAATACACATGCTTCACGGAAGAGTCTTCCTCTGAAAACCTTCTTCTTGTCCAACAAATCGGCCACTGGATCGGCATACTTTGCGAGTGACGCAGTGAACAGAATGCACTCAAAGTGTTCGCCAACTCTGGCAAGAAACTCGTCGACGTACGGTCGTTTCAGTACGTAAACTTGATGTTCGACACCATCAATCTCAACGGGAATCACGAAATCTGGGTTCTTCACTGGCTGAAAATCAGGAAACAGTTGTGAACTGTGAAAAAAAAGAAGAAGAATAAGTAGAAGAACAGCTGTTCAAGGGGTGATACGTCAACACATTCCGTTGCTTGTTTTCAATTAGGTTCAAAATTTCAAAAAACTTTCTGAGTTTACCTTGAACGAAGAATGCACCAGTGTCTCATCAAGATCGATCACCAAACACTTCTTCTTGCTGTCGTGAGGTAACAATGGCGGCAAAAGCGGCTTCTCATTTATTGATCCCTGAAAGAAGGACATATTTGACAACGAGATGAATGAGCATGAAATAAATTGAACAACAGGAATCAAAGTATTGCTTTTCGATACCTTTTTACAACTTAATAATCCTAATTCCATAATTTCTAACGCTGAAGGCGTCCTTCCAGGTTTCCATTCGATCAACTCTCGATAATTGAGCCGATAGTCAAACTCGTCTTGGAACAGTAATTGTTTCCTTTTAACATTTTGTGGTTCCCGCATTGTTTCTTCTAATAAATTTCAAATTTTGCGAAGGAAAAAAAGTTATCACAGCGAAAGAAAAAACGGAGAAAAAGGTTTGTTGAAAAGTCGATATTGAGGTTAGAAAGGGGAAGAGATAGGTTCCACCGTTGTGACTTGTCGATAAAAAAATCCGGAAAGACGAAAGCATTACATCTTTCTTTTCGAACTGCACTTCTCTTTTTTTGCTCTCCTTTGAGAGAGAAGACGAAACTGTTATGAGTGGGGAGTATCTCAGTTCAGGGGGCATAACACATCTGGAGAGCAAAAGAAAAGAGCTCCGCCTGCCCCCCGGCCAATTGTTTTCGAAACGATGATACTTTGCAGAAGGAATTTGAGTTGGCGACGAGAAAAAAGAGAGGAAGGACAAAGGTCGGAGAGTGAGTTCAAAGGCAGAACCCATTAAAATTCCACATGAGTATGAGGATGATGATGCGGGGACGAGATTTTCGTTAGAAGACTTGCATAGAAGAAAGAGAAACGTTCCACCCACACGGAGCGGTAATGTTTTATTAGCTTCTACATCAGTGACGTAAAGATCGGGGATTTCAGACACATCCGAGTATCGAAAAGCATACTATATGATTCCCGCTACTGATATTTGTCATCAAATACTCACAATGGAATCATTTGCAACCTTATCATAGGTTGTTACTCCATCCCCACTGCCTCCAATCGGCTGACCATTTTGGCCTGTTTGTGGTAGTCCTGTCACCGTTCCATCGCGATGAACCTGTAAAATGTCCCAAACTCTTTTCCACAATTCCTGATTGTTTGGTACCTGAGTGATAAGCTGAATCGGCGGTCCGGCATTATTGGTTGGTGTTGACGGTCTTCCATTTTGATGATTGTTGTTGGTACTGTTCGTTCGTTGGTTTGATTGGATTTTCTCTGCAAAAAATGGTGTGATTCTTTTTGTGTGTGTGTGTGTGTGTGTGTGTGATCAATGAGCATATATTTTCTGAAGGGCGAGCCAACTGTCCCTATCTCTCTCCGAAACATTATCAATGGTTCTTCGTTTTCTTCCAGAAATCCCTTCAGATAAACTTTTGGGTGCACATGTTCAAGAATCAGAGTCCGTTGAAGAACTCTAGGAACCGAGTGGCACCATTTGTTTCAAAGTCAAACGGAATGGGATCCTAATGCGGGGGTTCTGGGGGTCCCCCAAGAAACTTGAGATGTTTGGAGCTTTTATGAGAAAAGATGATATTTTCGTCAGATTCTGACTCAGAGAGAAACGTCTGATTTTTGACAAGTAGATTTTGGTCGAGAGGTTTTTTGACAAGCACAGTGGACGATCAATTTCAGTACAAGGGAAAAAGGGCTAGAAAAATCAGAGATTTGGAGGATAAGGTCCGTCCTACTGTATTTAGAAAATATTTTTCTCGATTTTAGACCGTTTTTCACAAATTTTTATATTTAGAAACATTGTTAGTTACTGTAGTTTTAGTTACGGGAATTATCGGCCCCGTCGCCCATAACTGTTGCATCCCTTTAAATCATAACTAATGGTTCTAAAACCACATTTTTTATGTTTTAATTTAGACATTCTGAGAACCTAATCTTCTAATACTGCTAATTTTGCAACTATTTTTTTTCCTATTTCATATGCACCATCTCTCGACAAGTTTCAAAAGTTGCGTGAATCAATGCGGGGTTGTGACACATTGCCTGCGGGTGAACGAGTATGGGCGCAAGGATTATTTGCAAATCAAGAGAAACCAGCTGCCCTCCCACCCTTCACTTCTTTTTGAAGGGAGCGCGACACCCGGCTGAACTCACTTTGCCGTTTTTCGACAAGTTGAGCCGCCGCGTTCGTGAATCGAAAAATATTGACTGGTAAATAGTGAAAAAAAGAAAAGGAATCACTGGGGCAGTGTTGATGATCGTTGAAATTCAAGCGATCATTTAGTGGGAGTTTCTTCCAATGACGATTTTTTTTCGATTTTAAAGAAAAAGAAGTCAAGAGAAGGAAAGAGAAAGAGATAAAAGGAAATGTGTAACAACATTTTGTGGTGGTGGAAAACTGAAAAATTATAGAACTCGAGAGAAAAGGAAGGAAGAAAACATTAATTCCGTCCAGTCAAAATTAATTGTTTCGGAGGCGAATGGAATAAATGATCTACCTCCAGTTATAATGACTCCCCTTTAAAAAAAATTGCTCAGAGCTATTGTAATTTTTTGTTTTTTTTTCAATCGATAGTTATTAACAAAAAAAGTTAAAACTCACCGATCTCTCTGGGCGGAGTCACACAGCAGAAAAGTGTCTGGAAGCATCGTGTCCATCTTGGTTTCCTTCTAGCAGTTGATCTCTTCTTCTCTACTGATGCTGAAACTTTTGAAACGTTTGTATTGATTATTTGTTGAGAATACATTTTTACTACAAAACCCATTTCCCTTGATCACACAATTCCGGGTTTTTATCTCTTACCATTTCCAGAATATGGATTGAGAGGAGTGATTGCTGAAGCGTTTCCAACATCATCATCTCTCTTTGACGCTCCTCCCCAAACCACATTTTTCGAATTTCCATTTTCTTCTGTACGAGTTTTTCCGTTTTTCTCATCTTTCGAGAGCTTTGCACGGGGCATCGCTGGCACATTACGGTAGATTCCAACTGGAGGACTCATCACAGACTCTGGTGTATTCTGTGGAAACGGTGGATATTTAGGGACTCCATTCCCGTTTTGAGCAGCGGATGTGGAAGGGAATCCGTTCATCGTGGGTCTTCCAGGCATTTGTTTCATCCGATTTATCTGCTTTTGAGATGGGAATTGAATGTTGTGTCGACTATAGTAGCAAGTGATTCCAGACTTTTCGTCTTCCGATTTACTCCAGAAATCTAGACTGTTAGTACCGTTTTTCGGCTGAAGCGGTTGCGGAGCGGAGCCTTTCCGCACACCATCTTTCAGCATGGAAGGTGCAACAGGAGTACGGGGTGGTGGCACAATCGACGAATAGACGACGGCGGATCGAGTCGATTCAGCGTAGGTCATCCGAAGAAAATGGAGATGATGAAGGGAGAGTTGGAAAGAAGGATCGAGGACTCCTTGAAAGGTAATTTATGAGATTATGAGAAAAGAGAAACGAACCAGAAGATAATAAGAATTCGAGATGTGATAATAGCTGATAAAGGTAGTCCTTGAAGAAGGTTAAGAAGAATTCAGACCCACAAAAACGACATTTTCAATGGTATGTCGTTCCACTCACAACAAAAAGAGAGGCAGAAAAAGGATTGCTAAAAAGGACTGCCAACATTCACTGAGCAAATTGCAGAAAAGACAAAATAACAAGTAGGTCCTACCAGTTAGTGGAGGGAAGAAGAATGAGTGGTTGAGAGTAAAAACAAAATAGACGTAAGTGTGTTTTGATGAGATCGGAGGGAAGGTGAAATCTGTTCCAGAAAGCGATACATGTGCTTTGATTTATTTGCTTACATGCGCCAAAATCCTCTCAAGGAGTGAGAAAAGGGGCAAACCCAAATGTATCCAATTTCTATTGGTTTGGTTTCCATTCTTAAGATGGCATTTTCAAAGGTGAAAAGAGCAGAGAACATGGTGGAAAAAGAAGAACTAGCCAGAACTCGGAAACAAAAATTAGGTCGCGCGAGGGCAGAGGTGAAGTGCTTGTTGAAGTGAGCACGGAAACTACTCTAGGTATGTTTCGTCTTTTTTCATTTTATTCTTCTTCTTCTATCTCCATCCTATCATCTGCTCCCAGTGCACAGTCAGGTTATCGCAAAGAACGCGGTGGCGCCCCGCGCTGCCAAAACGTGCAAGAGTGCTTGACAAATAGCAAATAAGCGCTGCCGCGTGGGGGTAAACGGCTGTGAGGCGTCGGGAGACGTGTGTCTTTCCGTATGTGTATATGCCATAAGTAATATAGGCTTGCTCTCCCAGGTACCTGCTCACCGATTAGTGGCGTCTCATGGAGGGCGCGTAACGGGGCGGCAGCTTGTTGGCAATGTGCCAATAACATTGAGCATTGAAAGAGACAATTTTCACAATGGGTTATAAAAATAGATCGTTTTGGTTTTAAGTTGAAACTTTCAACCAGTACTCGAAGACGTCAATCATCATAAGAAATGTAGTGCACATAGACACAAGCATTTGCCAAAAAAAAAAAGACCCTGGCCAGAAAAAAGAGCTAAAGTGCCACTCTCACGGCGACTTTCATCACGCTTCAGATGACTCTCATCGCTTCAGTAAAAATAGAAACATTTCAAAAGGTCGAAGGTCGCGGGCTTCAAAACTGGCATAGGCCCAAAAAGGATAATTAAGAAGACATTGGAAACACATCTGCCATAAATTTTTATTATTCATAACCACAAAAGGAAACCGTGGATACAAAGGTATTAGGGGGGAAGTAGAAGGCCTATTTTTCTCCTCAACGCTTTCACATCCCTAAAACTCGTGATCAACTCTTTTTTTGGTGTGCCCTTCTTTTTCTAACTCTCTTCCTCTTTTTCCAAAAAAATGGAAGAAAAACAAAATTCCAGATGTCATGTCAGATCTTAAAAAGCGATAAACCATCCGAGATTTCTTTTGTGTAGTGGTGTATGCTCACCACAAAAAAGGGGCAAAAGCCTTGCCATCGAAAGTTCTCTAAAAACGCCTCCAAGAAAAGGAAGGAACACAACAAAAACACTTTGTTGGGTGGTTGTGGAACATGGAACACTTTGCTGGAAAAATGGAACAACGGGGAAAGGGAAAAGGAGAAAAAAGAAAGAAAGGAACATTTTCATGCTCTGCAAAATTAAATTCCCTCTAATTGTTCCCGGAGAAAAAAAAAGAAGCAGACAGGCTGACTGAAAACATTTGATGTTGGTTGGCATGTTGACAATTGGAGAAAGGGGATTCGCAAATGGATTAGTGAGCAAGATTTGGAATATCTTTCATCTAGGGAAACGAAAATAATCAGAAACACGGCTTTAAGAAGCTCAGAACCGGCTAATCATATTTTGACGCCTACATGAACGAAGAAAAATATGAAAAATAGAAAAGAGCCATGTCTGTGTGAGAAGACTGAAATCGGAACCTTTTTTGGGAGTCTACGAATCGCTGTGTGGTAAACAAAAAAGGAAAGTTGTCGGTGTGTCTGTGTGGTGCGCGAGTCAGAGGGGAGGTGTTACGAGGAAAGAGTTGTCCAATAAGGATGGGTCCAAAAAATGACGGACGGTGAAAAGAAGACGGACAAAAAAAAGAAGAGAAGAAGAGGAAGAAGGATGATGATGAAGATGAAGAGGAGAAACGGAGAAAGAGAGATGGAAACGAAGGATGAAGAACAAAACAACCGACACCGCGGTGTATGTGTTGGCTGTGTGAAAAAAGAGCCTTGTGCCCATCTGATGGAGAGGAGAGGGAGCCGCTGGTAAACGAAATAGCGATCGAGATGAAGAGAGATAGAGAAGAAGTGACGGCGGACACAAGATGATGGTGGGCACAGAGCCCCGTTTGACACTGAGAAGAAGCATGCTCCATTTTTCTTTTTTTTGGCCAAAAAATAGAACGACGAGAGACAAGGAATGACGAACACGTTGAACCGGGTCCATTCTATCTTCGCCACTTCAGAAATTCTTCAAACTGGGTGCGTGTTGAGGAAGTATTCTAGGATTGGCGTGCTAGGAATTCGAATGTTCCCTAATATTTGGAACAAAATAGAAAAACCGGTCGAATCGGGAGAAATTGAAAATCAAACGGCTGCAGAAGAAGTTACTGAATTTTAGAATCCAATTTCTGGGGGTGTGTGCATTGACACATTTAAAGGTTCATACTCGCTTTTAAAACTTTCTTACTCTCTTTCTCTAATTCTTTAAATGGAACCCCTAAGCATGTTTTTTGGTTAACTTTTTCTGTTCTCCAGACTGGAGTCCCAGTAAAAGTTCATTAGAAGAGGTCTTCTGGAATGCCTACTAGAAAGATCCTAGAAAATTTAGTTTTCGTTTCTAAACGTAAGTCTCACTGAGAAAGAGAAAAAACTCGTGTTTCGCTCTGCAAACAGGGAAGTTGTTAACAAAGAGTGGAGAGAGCAATTATCTCTTTACATCTCCAAACATTTCAGAAACGGAAGGAAGTCGTACATCATCTACACAGCCTTCGAATGGTACCAACAGGTACCAACTTGTGCCCCATTACTCAAAAAGAGGACAAAGACTTCTTCTTTTCTAAAAAAGAAAATGTTGGATGATCAAATTAGAGAGGACCACTTTTTCGAAAAGGGAAGGAATTCGTTCTAGAGCTCAATGTTCTTTATAGAAAGGTCTGAAGAAAAAGGAGTCTGAAGTACCATGTCGAACTGAACAAAGAATTCGAAATACATGGAACAGAGAGGTGCTAACTGCTGAATAATGTAGAGAAAAAAGAGGAAGAGCCTTCTAGCGAAAGAGCAACATGTAAGAAACAGAATTAGAAGAAACATAGCAGTGCTTGAATTTTAGATTTTTGGGTTGTTCAATGGAACAATATCCGACTCAGAGTAAGAAGCTGCTCCATGAATCATTGCAGCCAGAACACAGAACAGTTGCTCCGAATAGAAAGCATTTCAACATCCTCTAGGTTTTTCAATAGAAAAGTACGTCGTACACACTGAGTACTCAGCCCCAGACACTGATATAAAAAACAGTCGCATCGATAAATTATCAGATAAAATATCAGATGACTAACGAGTGGAAGGATATTGAAAAAAAGATTTTAAAAAACGTTAACGATTGAAATTTCTACTGATTGTCGAGAAGAAGAAGAAGCACAACGCAGCTGTCAACTCTTCAGGGTGTCGTCTGCGGGCAAAAAAAGAGGCATATGTCATCCATTTTTCTTTTCATCATGAAAAAGAAGGAAGCCTTCTCCTGCTTCTACTTCTTCCTCCTCAAAATGACTGTAACGGATTTTGTTCCTAAAAAATCTGTAAACGTCGTCTTTTTCCGTTTGTTGAACATGATCGGTAGCGGAGACACAAATTTCAATCGGCCAGATGTTCATTGTATTGAACAACATTTGAGAACAGACATGTGACCCGTGTGTGGAATCGAAAGTGTGTTATTTTATGAAAAAATATAAAGTCTCCGAAAGAAAGAGGAGTCCGAGAATCAGAGATCGTTGGAAATGAATGGGAGGGTGCACCCAAAACTTGTTTTTTTGAAAAGAAAACTTCGGAGAGTGAGTTTGTGAGGAGCTATTTCTTTTTATTAAAAAGTGGAAGAGAGGGAAAATATGATATTAAAATGAAGATTTCTAATGAGTGTCGACCTATGGTCTAGGAAGAATTCTCAAAGAGAGTCAGTTAATGAAACCTAATTCGATGATTCGAAGAGAAATGAAGAAAAAACGATTCTAACCTATGGCCTCTAAAACTGGGTATTTCCGGATTTCGAAAATCCGAAAAATCCAAAAACATAGAACAACAGACACAGGTGTGGAAAACAGCTGATGGGTTGGATAGCACTAGGGTCGGCGGAATGTGAAAAAGAAAACACTTATGTACAAGGTCGCATGGACGGATTCGAATAGAATTCGAGGAGGAACAAAAACAAAAACAACATCATCTGCCGGACAATGAACAAGAATTTCTATGAAGTCTTCAATTTATTTTTTGGATTCAAAATTTCAAATTTTGGAAATTGGGTTTTCAATAAAATTCCTTGTTAAATTCGATGACACAACGATTAATAATTTTTGAAATCCTCTTTTTCAATGAAAAATCAAAATTGGAATATAATGAATGGGCGGGCGGGGAGAAAACACGACTGATTTTATCACATCGACCACTTTATGCCATTGCGTCCAACCTGTTTATTCCAATCCAGGAAAACGAAGACACAGCTGGCTGAGGAGATGACCGATTGTTAGGAATGATATCCAAAAGATAACAAGCATCACTTTCTCTCTTCTTTTTTCAAGTAGGATAATGCCCATTATTAATGGGAAATGCTGGATTAGAAACCCGGAATTGTGTTTTTGAGGATTAATGAGCGTCTTTTTCAAAGTTTTCAATACTTACAACTGTGTTTGACGAAATCTGCTCCAGCAATCTGTCCAATCGGTTTCGCGTAGGATACATCATCTGCACTTGAGTCACTGATTGTTGTCTCACTGGCCGCCTGGAAAAGATGTGAATGATTACATAACATCTGATTATCTAGAAAAGTCTGATTCTAATTTTTTCGCATGGTTAATTCTAAAAAGTTGAGGAGATTCATTCATTCGTAACCTAACGAGATATACGAGTATATAAGTGAATTTTTCAAGACATGAGCGATATCAATCTCGGTTCAGGGATGTTAGGAAAGACCTTTCCGGAATTTATCGGAATTCCGAAAATTCAGAAAGAAAGCTTTGGGAATACTCCGATCGGAACTTTCGAAATTCCAGATTCGTTCCGAACATCCCTGTGATAGCATTATCAATGTAAATTGGTATTATTTCAAAAAATTTTTCAGCCATACTAATTTTATGTGCTCTGATCTAACTTTATTTTTTCATTTGGCATAAACAACTCTTATCAATTTTTCCTCCAATTTTATAGCGTATTTTTGAAACTATACAAATCCCCCTTCATGTTTACAAATTTAGTAGAAAAAATGCAGTGCTTTGTGTTGAATATAGCAGGTCCCTCTGCATACCGTAACCTATATTTGTTCAAGATCCCCAACCGTCACTTCCTTCTTCACACGTTTTATAGGTCATTGAATTTTTATTTTTTGTTTGTTTGTTGCATGAAAAGGTTTTTTCAAACTTTTCATCGTCACTAAAAGTTTGACGTAGTCGTCGTGTTACTTCATAGTAGGTATAGTGTCGAATTTCTTCGAAATAGCAATTTTACATCGAAAAAGGCAGAAACATCGGGTTTTCTAGTTTTTAAGAGAATCAAGTTAATTGAAGAACGAAAACTGTATTGACTCATATTTACAGTACTGAATAAAATAGAACACTCACCTGAACACCATACCCGTTGCTCATTGTGCACTCTCCCCACTGGAAATGATTCTTCCTGGAAGTGTGGAGACACGCCTCTGTGTAGCCTGCCGAGATGGAACACACAGCAACGGGGTCAAGTCTGAAAGAAAAGAAGAAGAGGATGCGAAGGTGATGCTACTGCCTGAAGAAGAGCATTTAAAAAGACATACAGAGTGAAGAAAAATGAGAGATAGAGATATAGATGAAGAAACGGAAGGAAGAAAAACGAAGCATACACACGCACACATAAATACACAAAAATAGAGGATGAGGGTGATGATTAGAAAAAACAAATGAGCAGAGGTAAAAAATATATGAAGAAAGAGGAAAAATATGAAGGCAGGCATGAAAAATGAACGAGAATAGATTGATGAAGTGGAAGAGGAAGAGGGAAAGCGAGACACGATCGGTTGGGTGATAACAGCTGACTAAAATCAAGAAAACCGAGATAGAAACAGAAACATACGAAAAATTTCAATTCGTATCGCCATGAGACTAGTGTTTCAGGGCTCGGAGGATGCTCTTTGAGAAGAGAGATGCACACTTTGTATTTTCGAACGAAAACTGAGATTAGGAATGAAAGTTACCGTATTATGCTGGTACAAAAGAAGGAAGACAATCGAAGGAAGACAGAAGACAATCAAAAATTTTTATTTTCCGATTTTTCTGGAAAAATAATAGGAAAAACCTTCGGAAAGCAGTGAAAACGAGAAAATGAAGCTCGAATTTTTGTACCAGAATGATAGTATTAGGCCTTTTTCAGTACCCATCACAGACCAGAAGGAAAAAGAATGGAAAAAAAGTGCAACATTTGGGAGATGAAAAACACATAAACTGAAAGTGAAAGTTCTAAAATTTCAGTTATTTTCCGATCAGTGCGCGAAACTTTGCCGCAAACTTAGATTCCATTGTTCTACAAATTCATTGCTGACCGTCTGCGTGATTGACGGGGGCCTAGAAGTGGCAGTCACCCAATTACCAGGTCTTGTTATCATGCCAAAATTGGTCACACACACCCTCAAACGAAACTGGTTGCCGCACACACGCTCCAATCGCTCCCGCACGAATGAAAATACGAACTTTTCACTGCTACTAACAATAATGATGATGATGGTGGTGGTGATGCCTTCCCCGGAAAAAAAAAACTCTTCCCTCATCTTCCAAAAATTTTCCCTCAGGCATCATGTTACATTTTTAGTTTGTTACTCTATTCCTACACTGCCCATGATTGAATTTAAAAAAAAGAATTAATTATTCGAAATCCTTGAAAAAAGTCAGGCAATTCTGATGTTTCAATTTGTCTCTTCTTCTCTCGATTTCGACGATAATACCAAGCAGGCATTTATTGTTGCCATTCAATGGACGACCTTCAGTTTTTGGCGCTTCTTGTACTTTGTATGTCGTTTCAAATATAAACAACAGAAGATTATGTACTGTCAGAGAATGGAAATTGGGAAAGGCATTGTAAAGGATTTTTGGATTTTTTGAATCATTTGAAAAATCGAAATTCCCATGTAAGTTTTTATATGAATCAAGAAGCAATAGATTTCAATATTTTTTCGATACAATTATTCTCCCACTCTTCGATTCGGAAGAAGTAGATGAGGTTTTTAATGACTGTTTTCTGCGAATCTCGACACAACTAATACTGGATCCAATGGGGGATTCTCCATGTGGGAAGGGAAATAAAACAAAAAAGATGAGAGGAGGAAAAAATTGTTAAAAACACAAGTCTTTTGTGATTATCAAAACATCATCGTGTGACGAACATATTGCCCAGGAGGAGAACAAAAAATATAGGAATAGAAGGAGAGGTTGAAACAGGCGGGATTGGTAAAAAGCGTGTGAGGGGCATCGAGGGGCGCCCCGACACAGACATTTCGACAGTCATCTTGGAGATGGAGAGAACGTAGAAACGAAATACTTGGGGATCCACGTGAGAAGTGTGTCGAGACATAGAGAAGCAAAACCTCCCAAGACTTTCCATTTTTTTGTCTCTTCCCATCTGTATGCCTCAGATTCGCGTGCGCGGGAAAACGAGGTGTTACCGAGAGAGGGTTAGAGACTAGGAAAGAGACAACGAGATACTAAACAGTTTCAGATGAGTTGGCAAATGAATAGTGGTAATACTAATGAAAAATAGGTCAATACTAAAAACTTTGCGCGAGAAATTCAAAGATCCGAAAAGATTGAGAACGAAAGGAACGTCATATCAAAAATTCAGATCTTCGAAATCTAGATCTTCAAAAATTAAGATTCTTAAGAATTGAGAAGCCAGGTACGTTCGGAACGGAATTCCCGAAGCTTTTTTCGGAATTCGAGCTTTTTGGACTACGGTATTTTAAAGGCGCACGCGATACGTTCTCTTGCGGATTTCAAACGGAATTACTTTTAATTTTTTTGCGCTTTTGTGATGAAAAAGTGGGATTTCCTAAGTTTCGAAATTTGAATTTTCAAATTTCCAAAGTTCCGAAGATCTCGAAATTTTCAAAACCGGAATATTCCGAAGATTCTGAAATTTAAAAAATCGGAATATTCCGGAAACTCCGAAATTTTGAAAACTGAAATACTTCGAAAATTTGAAAATGGAAGTTTCTGAAATTTCGAAAACCTCAAAATCGGCAAAATTGAGACAGACAGTATCATACAGTGCTATTGAACGTTCATCGATGCATGATGTGTTTGTTATGGTCTTCTAAATGACTAGAACAACTAAAAATATTTACAAAATAATTTTATTTAGCAGCGGCAGAAGGTTGAAACGAGTCAAAAGTTTGCTGTCAGTTTTTTTTTGAAGTAAAGAGCAAACACGGGCAACAACGAAGGCAGAGCAAATAAATATCTACTTTTAATTTTGTGACAAATTTATCTGCGAGACGAGAAGGAATGGAATGAAGAGAGAGCTGTAAAACTAGAGATATGAACTTGTAAAGGGCCGGCGGCATCATAAACTTGAAGAAGCAAACTGAAAGAGCTGAAAGAATGGAATGATAAGGGCGTTTGTGGGGAAAAGAATCGGCTTGTACTCAAGAGAAACGATAAGAAAACGTATCAGCTTTTCGTCTTCTTTCGAATCAATACAATTTCAGAAAAAGCAGTTGCCTTTGTTGATTTTCCCGTTTTTTCCATGCGAAACAAAGTGACAGAAGGGTGAAAAAATGTAGGTGACTCATATGAAAAAATGCAATGCATGACAGAGAGTCGCTACTAATAATATTTCGCTTTTTTTCTCTCGGTGAACTGAAAACGAATTGAAAATTTTTTCGACAACTGGGAGAATGGGGCCCAGAGGCTGATGAACATTAGGATAAGAGGAGGGAGAGTTCAAAAGAGAAAACGGGAAAGAACAGAGGGTCCCGAGGAAGATGACAGGGAGAAAACTCTTTCCATTTTCTTTTTTTGCACCGTTCTTTTGCTCTTCATCCTCCGAAAAGTTGTGTAACATCATGAGGCACCACAGCAGTCCGCTGGTAGAAAGTGTCACAGAAGAGAATCAGGTTGATCACACATTCCGAGAAAAATGAGAAGAAAATGTGATGAAAATTCAGTGGCTCTCTGTCTTTTAAAATAATTACTTGTTTCCTGAACTTGATTACTTCTCTGTGGCGGAAATTATATGAGACAGCATATATTAGAAGAAAAATGAAGAAAAAAATGAGTCAGTGATTCAAAGAGAGAAAAATAGCGAAAAAAATAAATAAAAATTGAACGACTCAATCGCAATCTTGGAAAATCTCCTACCGTACCCCTGTTCGTTTCGAGACTTCAGTAACTTTTTTGTGTTTGCGCCTTCAAACCGTAATAAAACCGTAATAAGAGGAAATTAAATTTGAAAAAAACAAAAGAACCAGTCTGAAAATAGCAGGGTTGCAATCCGGGCCGAAACGGGCCGGCGCGGGCCGGCGATTTTCTCCCCTCTAAATTGAGATTTTCAAGTCAAAATTTATATGAAACTGTAGAACTCGATGAGATCTACAGAATGGTAGTTAGAATATCTGAATTCCATGTCTATAATTCCCGTAAAACGTCGAAAAGTGGACGGGCCGGGGATTTCGGCCCGTGTGAGCTCGGCCCGTCCACTTTTCGAAATGAAGAGCGTAGTTCGAAACTCTCCGGAGAACTTTTCTTTTTCAGCCAACCACACTTCCAGATGTGCTCAGCTTCAGCTCTAAATTGATGAGTTATATTATAGTGACCGACAACTCAATGTCATATCATGTCCAAGTCCTAAAACCATCCATATCAAAACTGTAACAACCTTTTCTCCTTAATATTTTAAATGGACCCTCCTAAAAATTAATCCGTTGACTCTTTTCTACAAAAATAAATTGTTTTTGGGAAAGCGTTTCTTCAGAATGATAAAAAAAAGATCAGTTTGCTTTTAAGAAATGTTGAAAACCGAAACAAAAATCTGTGAAAACCTTGGAAAACGGAATTTTGTGGGAATATTTTTTCCGGAAAAGAACCATACAGGAACCACATAGGATTGCTAAACCACATATATTAATGTTTTGAAAATCATTTGAATCATCTTGAATTCCTAAACATTTTGATGAAAATGCGGAAATTTTGCTTCAGGCCTTTCACATCAAATAGTTAAAAAATCAAATCTAAATTAGCAGTTCGAATTTCTTCTTATCTTGATAGTGGTTACTGTATTCTCCCTTTCCATTTTTGGAACACAGTCTCTCGGTCAAAACGAAGAAGATGAATATCAGTAAGCATCAAATAAAATTATCTTTATTGTAAATTAAGGAACATAATTTCGTCCAATACTAGGATGATTTTGATGGAAAAGGCAAAATTCAGTCAACATTCTAATAGGATGCCCCCATCAACTTTGGCTATTAAACTCATTTCCTGTTAGAGATATCAAAAACTGGTCAACTGACAAACTACTAGTGATATTATGATAAATATTTTGTTTGTTACTCATTTTTTGATATCTTTCACAGAAATAGAGATAAATTAGCTCAAAGTTGAAAGTTAGGGAAGCATTCTATTACAGTGTTTACAGTAGGTAGATGTTCACTGAATATTAGAATACCGAATTTCAAAAACTATAAAAACAAGATTGGAGCATACTCCACTTTTTTGAGTTATCTGCCAAACCAAAGCCAAAAATCGAAAACCCCGACCGGCCTCTTGTCCTGGAACCAAAACCCTGGCCTTCTTCTCCCGAACGTAAACTTTGGTTTTTCTCTGAAATTCACTTATCTATCGGTGTGTCTTATCTTCTCCGCATATCACTATCGCCATCTTATAAAAACAGAGACATTTCGAATTTCAAGAAAAAAAAACAACCAACAAAGCGGCATTGCTACGGGAACCAAATTGAAAACAGTAGACGGAATAAACATGGAGAATGATGGCAAAAATTTGATAAAGAATAATGGAGAGCCGGAGAAAGAGTGAGTTTTTATAGGGCTTTCAAAATTCGCTGAACTTTGAAACAACTATTTTACAGTGGAGGAAAAGTTTTAACTGCGAGTAAAAGATCAGGACGGAAGAATAAAACAGCAACAATTGAAGAGAAAGAAAAAACAAAAGAGAATGAGCTTCCTCCTGCTCTCCTTCCAAAGTTCCCATCTCACAAATCATTGAGACGTCGTTCATCGGGAGAAGCTATCGAAGTGACTCCAATGTATCCGTCGGATCAGTATATTAATGAAAACGATGAAAATGAAATGACAAGAGAACTGGAGAGAGAAAAAGCTGAAAATCACTGGGAAGAGGGATTGTTGTTGATTGATGAGTTACAGTTGAAAGAAGAAGAAATGGAACAGCAACAGAAGGAAATGCAGGAGAATGCTCATGCCTCACCATCTGATCAGAATTCCTTAGAAGCTAATCAGAAGAAAATGAAACAAGAAAAAGTGGAAAAAGGTGAAAAGCCAGTAGAGAAGAAGGTGGATAAGGCTAGTGCAAGGGATAAGAAAAGTGGGCGGAGCGAAGATCGAAAGAAGAGTAAAAAGGATGTTGCATCATCGGATGAGAAGAAATCAAACGAAGATAAAAATAAAGGAGTTGGGTTGAGAAAGAAGGCGTCAGCAGAGGATGCAAATTCTGATGAGTTTCGAAAAAGTGGAAGAAAGTCAAAGAGGTTGAAAAAGTCGGTTTTCAAACCTCCCGTGCAGGTACTACAGTAACGGTCATAATGATATTCGTATCACAGTTTAAACAAATATTTGAAAACGGGCTTACTGCAGTGAAAAATATTCGAAAATTAAAAGGTTTACTGTAGGGGAAAAATAGTCAAAAATGAACAGGGTTACTGTAGGCGAATATCATCATGACCGCAAATCTTTTCCATTTATACGGATTCTCATTGTTTTGCGTTTTTCAGAAACCAGGACAACCACCAACTCAGGGACCTACATCAATCTATCAATCTCCAATGGTCCCTGCTCCAAAAAATGAGCGATCTCTGAAATTGAATGTCGGCGAGCCAAAATCCTATGACGACAAAGGGAAAAAACTAGCGGCATATCCTAAAAAAGATGGGCAAAAAGGAACTGCAATACCTGCAAAATCACCACTTCCTGGAACTCCTGGAACTGAGATTCAAAAGAATCCACAACTTCCACCAACTCCTCATCAACTTCAGCAACAACAACAGCTTCAGTTGATGCAGAAAAAGCGGAGAATCGGATTTTTGAAAAATGTGTATCAGAAAACCAAATTCTGGGGACGAAAGGCGGATTGTGTTGCTGATCCGTGAGTTTATAATGAGCACAGAATTTCTATTGGAAAGATTTTTTTTAGATCCATGGATTTTCTTTCTAAATCCTATGTGAAACCAGACTACGATCCAAACAATCCAACAGACTTTATGCCAGAATTATCCGCCAGTAAAATACTTTCTGACGAAGATTGGGCTAAAAGAAACTCGAATATTCGTTTCTCAAAAGATGAAGTATTTATTAACATGCGTCCGTTCTGGCTAACTCGTACCATAAATGACACAACTCCAAAAGTCAGAATTCAGCTACACCGTCCATTGAAGCAGATGTATCAGGGAAATCCATCATGTATTCTTCCGAAACTCAGCCGAACCGAACCATTTTGTGATCCCAAAAAGGATTCGATAGTGGCAATGAAAGCGATTGATCAATTGATTGGAGTTGATTTGAACTATGTTACGAAAGACACGAAAGATCAAAAAGATCAGAAAGACAAAGAATAGAATCGGGTGTGTGCAAACACTTTTCATGCTACGATTATGTTTGAAACGGAAAAAATCAGTTGGGATATGAGGAAGAAGAAGGTAATTTTCTGAGGTTTTTTGAAATTTATGTAGTTTAAAACATTGCAGTCCGAGTACGAAGGAAAACAAGACACCCAGAGACGTGGAAAAAAGGAAAAAGCACAAGAGAAGGAAGAAGGAAAAGAGCAGAACAGCAAACCAAATGTTACCTTTGACATTCCGCTTCCGGTTCCTGGTGTTGAGCTGGATCTTCAAATTTACAATCGGTAAGTCTTTGGAACAAAGAAAATCTCTGAAAAAAACTTTCAGGAAGCATCGACCTCAAACAAAATATCCAAATGGAATTACTGTGGAGAACAGACGTAGATTCGCCGGGATGAGATATGGTTTAAAACCGACGAAAGAGAAAAAAGACAGAGACAAAGTTAAAGCTCGATCGCCGTCTGGAGGACCAGTGTCTGTCAATTCCACGTCTTCGAATTCTCAATCGTCGTCAGCTGAAGGGAAAAAGAATTGAAGGAGATTTAGCTGTTGTTTTTTCTGTTTCTTTTTTCATCCAAAAATGAAGTTTTATTGGTGACTGAAAGACAAATAAAGAGCACAAAATATACATACCGTAAAACCTGTAATCTTCCTAACTTTTAACTTCGAGCCAATTTTCTCGGTTCCTGTCAAAGATATGAAAAAGTGGTCAACGCATATCATTATCAGTGGTCAACGCATTTATCATTACATCAGAAGTTTGTTATCGAGTCACAAATTTTCGATACGTTTGACAGGAATTGAGATAATTGAGCTCAAACTTGATAGGGTAGTGACCCTTCTATCAAAAATTGTACGTTATCATATATTTCATGAGTGATTTAGTTGTAATTGAATTTTTTTTTCTCCAATTTCCATTCTGATAATATGCTTGTAACCAAAATAGTTCCACAAATTAACACTGACCGCTTACCGTAAAACATATAACAGAAGGGATCCACACTTCCAAGTAAACTTTTCTTGGCCCATAAGAAAGATATTAAAAATCTGTTAACTGATAAAATGTTTTTGATATTAAAATAGGCAATTAGTCCGTTAACAACTTTTTGAAATTTTTCACAGACACCGAGATAAATTTGCTCAAAATTACAGTTTCGATTAAATGTTGTAACGGTGTCTCCCTTTGTTGGATTTGTACAAAAATTTTGTCAACAACTAAACTGAAGCTCTTGTTCTGTGCAACATACTTCACAATTTTCAGAAAAGGCGAAAACTTCCAGACTACTTTTGTAAGATTTCAATGTTGACTTTTTTTCAAAGTTGATTTCAAAGTTGAAAAATATTTCACTGAAAGGAGATATTTTGTCCGGTGTGTGAGCATTTATTTCAGGTAGTACCTATCGAGAATTAATGAAGATTATAATGTACTACATGTCAAGATGTTGAGGCAAAGTTTTTCTTATCCCGAACAGAAATCAATTGCATTTAGGACGAAATGTTTGGAGCTGGATAATAGTATAATTTTGAAGATGAGCGAAGGGAGAGGTTTTGAATTAAAGAAATGGATTAGAGCTTGAGTTTTGAATGTCATGGATAGGAGTATCAAAATGGATGTTTGGAATTATAATGCGTTTTGAATAAGATCTATACTGATTTGTGATACAGGATATTTATGATTTTTCTCAAAAGGTTTGGTTTTTTAATACATTTCAAGCTCGGTGGCTGACTGACGGCTGACCGATGGCTGATTAGCGGCTGGCCATAAGCATACTTTCACTCAAAAATAACTTTTCGGATATCTCTTCTAAAATAGACGTGCTTAAGTTTTCAAAGATTTTTTTAGGTCAACATATTTTTCTTTTTATCATGCCATGTTTTCCAAAACCATATACGTCTTGCTGAGTTGTCGTTTCTAATGACTGAAGGTTCCAGTAAAATCTATTCCCATATTATAGACTTTCTGTGGACTGACGATAAAAATATCGAGATAAAAATGGCGTAAGTTTTTGGACCCTCTAAACTTTTTCAAAACCAGAATCTCACTTTTCTAGAATAAAACCTCATGCGGCCAAAAAGTCACCAAATACGAAAACAAACAACAATAAACGGAGAGAAGCAGAGAGTCGAACCGAGGAGAAAACGGCAATTCACGGACCAAAGCTGAAAACGACTCAATTGAAGAAAACAGCGAGTAAATCATCGGCTTCTGCTGACAGAAAAGGATCAACGACGGATTTGGCTGTGAAAAAAAGCAAGTCAAATGTCAATACGGCTTATGAGAAGACAATAACCGAAGACAAGGAGAAGAAGAAGAAGGAGAAGTGGTCGGGAGAAGAAGCAGCGGGCAAATTTGCAAAGACTTTGGATACCGTGAATATGAAGGAGGAATATGAGGAAATACAGAAGACGACGGTTCAAGCGGAAAGATGCAAAATATGGCAAGCGCATTCATCTCGTAATCGGAATCCCAATTATAAGTGTTATGATGATAATCGAGTGATTGTGCAACTGTGCAAGAGTGATTATATCAATGGAAGCAAAATTAACGTTCCGAATGTAAGTGCTTTAGAATTCTAGATGCCTGTTTCTTTAATATGATTTTCCAGTTTGCTCCATTGGTCTACCTCCTTCAACTTCCCAAAGTCGAAACCCCAGAAGCCGTGGAGGAATTCTGGAGAGTCGTTTTCCAGGAACAATGTCAATCGGTTCATATCATTGCTCGGCCGGAAGAACTCCAAAATCCAGGAATCGAACAATTGTTCGCTCAGAAATCTGGTGCCTATCTCTACGCCAATCAATTCTTTATCAACACACGAAAAGTGGAGAAAAAGGACAACTCAAAAGCAGATCAGTTTGTCGTCGAGCTTCTTCCAGAAGGGTGTTCCAATTCTGTAATGTGCAGTGTTTATTTGCATACCTATTGGAAACAGTTCGCTGGACCTGATCGATTTGCGGCTCAGTATCGAGCTGCTCAGCAGATTGCCAAAAATGAGAACGGAAATTCTCCAATTATCATCGCTTCTGTGAATGGAGCTGGACGGAATGCAGCACTTCTTTCGTTTGCAGTTGTTGTAGATCAATTGTCGAAAGGAAAAGAGCCCAAGGTGAGATAATCTGATTTATTGTTTCGAAATTCTAAAATTTTCAGATAAGTGAGATTGTCCGCACCGTCCGAGAGCAACGTCCTCAATCCGTTGATTCGTTTCCACAATATGTTTCGTTGTATCTGGCAACCAATTGGCTCATAAAAACTAAAGCATCAAGTGGATCGAATACGGATGAGATGATTTCAAGAATCAAAAAGTTCAATGAAAAGGCGACGCATGATATGCCCAGTTCGACTATGAAACAACCAACTGAAGGTTTGCGAAAATTTCTGATTTCATCGAAAAACCCATACTTGTAAAATTCCGGGCCGGCCCACCAAAGCCCGGGACCGGCCCGGAAGGCCCGGTGTCAAAAATTCTGTATTTTTGAGCCAAATTTTGAGCTCTCAATATAATTTTTTCCATTTTTTTTCGTATTTCGGATTGTTTGTCTTGCGAATGATGGGTAAACGGATCCGTTCGCGAATCAGACAAAAGTTTAAGTTCGCGAACGGATCCGTTTGTTTATCATTCGCAATCGGATCGGATACGGAGTTCGCAAACGGACAGAATATGGAGAAGTAAGAAATAATGTGCTGTGGTTTTCTGAAAACGGGTCGCGTGCGGTCCGTATACGGTTCCTATTTCAACCGCGCGCGAACGCTGAGCGTCCGTAACGGATTGTTCGCGAATCACCTGTGTGATCAAAAAAGATTGGAAAACTCGAAAAAAATTTTTTTGGTCGAAAAAAATCACATAAAGGTCCCCCCTTATGTGTTTTTTGAAAATTTCGAAACTAGTGAAATGACGGGCCCGCCGGGCCGGGCCGGGCCCACGAAGTTCCGGAAAAAGCCCGGCCCGTTACAAGTATGGAAAAACCCTTTAATTTTCAGAATGCGTTTGAATTCCTGACTTCTCTTCATTTTCCTCGAATTGTCTCGATTTCTTTAAAACTCTTTTCTATGCGAAATAAATATTCTCCATTTTATTCTATTTTTTAACTATGTTCCGGATTGCGAGATAATTTTTTAATCCCAGATTTTAAGAAAATATGTCAATCTGGTGACTATCTTTGTTACAATTTTCCGTTTTCAAGATTCCATATTCTGGATTCCGAGTTCCATAGTTCGAATTTCCGAGTTCCATAGTTCGAATTCAGGATTCAGGATTCAGTATTCAGGATTCAGGATTCAGGATTCAGGATTCAGGATTCAGGATTCAGGATTCAGGATTCAGGATTCAGGATTCAGGATTCAGGATTCAGGATTCAGGATTCAGGATTCAGGATTCAGGATTCAGGATTCAGGATTCAGGATTCAGGATTCCGTTTCTACAAGGGAACCTTTTAAGTTGTCCGGCTGATTCGCATAAACCAACCATAGAGAATGAAAAAACATGTTTGAAAACCTATAAATCCGTTTTCAAAATCTTTTAAGAGACCTCGAAACTGCTGAAATTTCATTTTTAGTACCAAAAATCACTTTTTCAGTGTAAAATTGACCAAGTTCACTCTCTCTCTCCTCTCTCCTCTCTCCATTCCTAGGAGATTTTAGGACTTGAAACTTTTTGTGTTATACTCAAAACTATGTGAAATTTCATTTTTTTAAAATTTTTCTTAAGAAAATGTTCAAACTTGGAAACTTGGGTTCATCCAAAGTGTAGGCGAGTTTTGAAACTTCCCAAAACTTTTCGGGAAATTTTTTTGAGAAAAATGTAAAAATATGAAATTTCGCATAGTTTAAAGTATAACACAAAAAGTTTCAAGTCCTGAAACCTCCTAGGAATGGAGAAAATCAAATTTGAATATGGTCAATTTAACACTGAAAAAGTGATTTTTTGGTACTAGAAATGAAATTTCAGCAGTTTCGAGGTCTTTTACCAGGGAATGGTGTGAATCGGGTATGGAGTTACGGCACATGGCCTATATCATTGAAAAGCTGATAAAAAGTTATGGACGACGATGCAATCAGAATTTGCTATAGAGACACCTGATCAGAGGAAATTAGGTCTAAAGCTCTAAACAGTGTACTATTTTCCCTCAATTTCAAATAAAAATATGAATTTATGTGTTTGCATTGTCGTCCACAACTTTTTCTCAGCTTTTCAATGATATAGGTCATAAGCCGTAACTACATATTCCGTTCACGCCATTCTCTGGTTAGGCAGATTTTGAAAACGGATTTATAGGTTTTCAAACATGTTCTTTCATTCTCTATGGTTCGTTTATGCGAATCAGCCGGACAACTTAAAAGGTTCCCTTGTAAGAGTCCTGGACGTTTTTTTTTCTGTTTTCGTACTATAAATATCGTTTCCCAAAAATCCAGAACATTTCAGGAGACGTACTTGATTCCCAAGATTCGTTGATTCTTATCTTCTGATTCCCACCCAATTATTTATTGCCTTCTTTTTCTGACATTCAGTCTCTATAGTGCTAATAGATGTCAATCTGACTGGATTAGTCTGTCCACCAGATGACAGTAATCTTCGAGCAGCTGACGACGCATCCCGCCAATCGAAGAGGGAAGGGAGAGACAGTACAGGGAAGACAAGAAGAGAGCAGAAGGCGTTGTTGCATGCAGATGCAGATAGGATGTGTCAACGTTCCTTTTATTTGTTTTCTGCCATTTCTTCTGATTTTCGATTGCTTCTGATTTCTTTATTGATTATTTGTATTTTTTCAGTATGATCTTGACGATTCTTCTCCTGACTATTCTTTCTGCACTCGAACTTATATGCTACTCATCGCTGGATTTTATTCTGGTTGGTTTTCATAAAATGGTTTTATTTATTAAGAATCAGAGCTGTGGAAGAGAAAATCTAGTGGCTGCGCCCATGGCCGAACTACCGTAGTTAATGAATTTTTACTTTCGTCAGTTTTCGAGGAATTTTTAGATTTAGAAAATGTTCGAGAAAAATTATCCGAAAATTTTAGGCTACGGTAGTTGTCATTGTATGACCTTCGGCAACATCTCCAATTTCTTAATACCAGAATAATACTTTCAGAAAAAGTTTGCTGAAAAGGTCGCTGAGCTCCGGGGAGAGGGATCGATCGTGTGGATCAATAAGGAAGAGTACGAAGAGACAAAGATGGCTAGGGAGATGGAAAATAAGAAGAAGAAGGAGTCCCAACCTGAACCAAGGGTTCTAGCAGAAGAAACGGAGGATCTTCTGCATGAAGTCGATTTTCTGAAGAGATCTCTGAAATGTGCCGAAGACGTTGCAGAGAGTCTCAAAAAGACGATTCTCAGTCAGCGTGCTGAAATTGAGAAGCATAGGAGAGAAACTGAAGAAGTCCGAAACAAATTCGAGCAATCAGAGAAAGATCTTCAGGATGAGCTTCAGGATATCGTCAACGATTTAATCGCTCAGGAGAAGAAAAGAAGACAAGAATACAAGGATGCTAGAGATGAGGAAGCGTTTGATAGACTGGAGGCATCTCCGATGAGTTTGGATGTGAAATCATCGACGCCGAAGATTCTAAACTCCGAAACATTGTTTAAATATTGATATCATCTTCCCATTTCCCCTCTAATCCCTTCTCCGTCCCCCAACTGTAATCACTTCACATATTTTCACTATCGGCAAAACTTGAAGTTCCCTTCCGATCTCTACTTGTTTTGATCTCTCAAACATTTTTTTGTTTTCTGATTTTCTAATAAATTTAATTTGATTCATTTTGAAGAAAAAACAATAAAAAAGACTGGGGAATCGATGGAAACCTGTAACGTTACCTATAGAAGAACGATTATGTCAAAAGCAAAAGTAAATAAATATAAAACATGAGATGAATAAAATATGAACAAAAGTTAGGAAGGCTGTTCAATCAAAGATCAATCGTCTCGCTGGATGGGAGCCGTCTTCTTCTAATCGGCGTGTTCTCTTCGCGGGTTTTTTATTCGGAAGTGGAAGTTCTTCATCCAGACAACAGTACGGCTGTGCTCGGAAGTATTCCATTTGCAGAGATTGAGTGCATGTCAATCGTTTGACCGGATCGAATACCCACATTCCCTGGAAACAAGAAAAAGCGTTTCGATTGCTGATAACGTTGAAATCATACCGTCATCAAATCAATCAGGTCTTGGGGTGCAGCAGAGAAGATGAAGTTGAGTCCAGGCGTTTCGCTTTGCGGTCTGAAAATTTATAAAGTCAGTCAAAAGCCTAATGTAAAAGCAACACCCACTTGATGTTAACGTAGCTATTCATAGCTTTCATTGTCGGCCATGATTCATCAGTTGGACATCCGAGAACATTGAAAATCTTGACGAGCTGATCTATATCACTGTCTCCCGGAAAGATAGGATTCTGAAATTTTTAATTTTCTATTGAACAGTTAATGCGAGATAAACTGACTCTCAGCAAAAGTTCGGCAATGATACATCCAATCGACCAGATATCAATTCCAACTCCATAGGAACGGGCACCGAATAGAAGCTCTGGAGCTCGATACCATCTGGTGACAACCTGAAAACTATCCTCATTCAGAATCAATGTTCAGATTCTCGCTCTCTCACCTGGTGAGTATAATTTCTGTTAGGAGATCCGAAGAATCGAGCAAGGCCAAAATCAGTGACCTTCACTCGTCCCATGTTGTTTAGCAGCAAGTTATTAGGTTTCAAATCCTGCAAATAATTGTATTAAGCCTCTCGCTCCCTCAATTTTTATTGCTGTAAACCGTTATGCTTTCCGCATATATGAGTTTTCTCCGATTACTTTCCCTTTCACTTTCACCTCCACCTTCATTTTTTCACCCGCTACTAACCCTGTGAAGAATCCAATGTGTATGCAAAAATTCCATGCCTAAAAGCATTTGCATTGTGATATTCTTAATGTGAGAAGGAGACAAAATGATCGATTGATCTTTGACAACGTGTTCGAGATCTGTATCCATAAAATCAAATACCAACTGAATGCTTGTTCGGTGACCAATCACATCTCGCAGCTGAAAATCAAAGATTGGGTCCTTTCCAACTTTGAAACCTACCGTAATTATATTATCATGGTGAATCTCTTTGAGCAACTTGATCTCTCTGATAGCTGTTCGATTGATTCCGTCTTTTGCTTCTTCTCGGGATCCTAATTTGATCTGAAGAAGATTCAATTCTGCTCTTGCTGTGTTGTTTTTAAGATAATTACTTTCTTGATAGCCACAACTTCACCAGTCTCCAAATCTTTCGCCATGTAGACGTTGGCGAATTGTCCTTCTCCAAGATGCCGTATAGTTTCATAGCGTTTGCTCATTTTTGTGAACTGTAATCAATTTTCTAGAAACTGGGATAAACTTGAAAAAGAAGTTCAGTAACGCAAGGTTATCAGCTGGAAGATGTCTAACTGTTTTTTTTCGATTTTTTCAACCGTTCTTTTTTCCTCCATGAGAATCTCTTGGATTCAGAAACTGCGCCCTGTTGAAAATTTGAGAAACGGAGTGAAGTCAGCAGACCCTTCACCGAGAAACAACTGAGGACACGGAGACGCACAGAAAAAGAAATGCATCAGAGAGTAGGGAGACACGGAATGGGAGGGGAAGCTTCGTTTTTGTTTAGTGTTGCTCTCGTCTCATGACGCTGTTTTGATGTCTCGTTTTATGGCAGAAAACAACGAAGCAAGCAAAAGAAACTAACTTGTTTTTTTTCCAGACTTCTCATAGACCACTTTCTTTTTGTGTCCCTGTGAACCCTATCACATGATATCACAGAAGATGTTAGCTGAAATGTTTCAACCAATGCATGTTTACTGATGGTTTTTATTTTATTCCCTTTGTTCCATTCAGCTGTAAGATTCTACACCTTATCAGTGGCAACCTGGTTGGCAGTCTTACATGCGTTGATCACGTGAAGCGGCCTGTAGTCAAGCGAGATTCAGTCGAAACATCTATTTTCTCTCAATGATTATATTGCATCAGAAATCATGAAGCTATTGCAAGCCACTTTCATTGCACTATGCATTTATGTTTCTCTTATCAGTCAAAGATAGAACACAAGAGTCAACGGTGTTCGTTTTCCCCCGTAAGACTGAATTTCTCTTTTTTTTAAATAAAAGAAGATGAGCTCTGTATTCCTAGAGATTAACCAGATAGGAAGAAGTGATTTCATCTACTCTAATCGTTCTTGCGTCATGCTTGATTACTTTTTTCTGTTCTTCTTCATCTTATCTCCCTTCTCTTTATGGTCCCTTCTATCTGATCTTTATTCAAATGATGGCAACTCTTCTCTCTTTCTATCTCCCTCTCTTCTCATATCTTTAGTGTGCACAGCATAGAGAACGTCTATCGCAAAACGGGACACAATACAAAGGAGAACAGCGCAGCAAACAGAATAGAGTAGAGTAGTACCTTTAGAGTAGTACCTTTTCCAACCGTGAGGCTCTCCTTCCTAACTATATTCCAATCCGCGTGGCCCTCTTACTCTCCGCGGCCTGCTTCTATCGATTCCCAATGGTGTCTGCGTTATGTATGTGTGTATGTGTGCGCGTGATCTCGTCTTCTCCCCTTCTCCTTCTTCTTGAACTCTCCCAGTGGCTCTTGAACTAAATGCTCTCATTTCAGGTAGAAACACATCCGAACTTCTTCAACTGCCAATCAACAAACTGGCAGAAGAAGGAACCATCTTCTGAGTCTCCCTGAAGTTTAAACATGTCTGAAAGTCTCCATCGCCTTATGGAACTTGCGCAGGCTGAAACTGATAGGATGGTAAGTAGACTAGTCTAAAAGAGCTGACTGACTTTGAGTGTTTTCAGAAAATCGGAGAGCTCGAGGATCAGCTCGTGACATGTCAAGTTGAAAAAAGGGATCTTCAATCGAAGTTCGAAAAAGAGCAAGAAGAGAATAAGGCACTTCATTTGACTTTGGCCCTTCGTACTGATTGTGAGCATGAGTTGGAACGCGTTCGCAGTGAGACCCATCCCGGTGTTGAAGAGCTCGAAGTGAAACTGGCGGCTGCGGAGGCTGAGATTTTGTTGATGGAATCAACTAACAAGGAACTGTTGGCTTCATTGAACACCACTCGAGGACAGCTTGGAAAAATGCTTCGTGAGAGAAACGAGAAGATCAAAGAGGTCGAGCAACTGGAAGAGGCTTTGGAAAAGATGGAAAATCGCCAGAAGAGAAGCTGGAGTGACGATTTGCACTGTGATTTTGAGCTCAACACGTATTCGACGAATATGAAACTGATGCTTGAAGAACTCAATGATCAGACTTCCAAATGGGAAAAGGAGAAGGTCATGTTGAAAAAGCATTACGAGGAGACTGAGAAGAAACTCACAAAAGAGAATGCAAAGCTGAAGGCTCAGAAGGAAGATATCGTGAATCATTCGAGAAACTCTGAGAAGATGTATCAAGAAAGATTGGACCAAGTTTTTGTTGAATTGGCGATGCTTCAAGATGGAAAGAAATCAGCAGGAAGCAAAGAAGACCTCCGCACACAGAGTAATCAGGAAGTGAACCGAAAACTCCAAACAGCCTTAGAAGCCATCGATGAGATGGAGGATGAAAATGTGACGCTTCGCGAGAAATTGGATGAGGCAACTGCGAGAATTTCTCACTTGGATGCAGAAATAAGCGTCCTAAGACCAAAGCTTGCAGGGAGAGAGACTCTATTGGAAGATGCTCGAAAAAACGCTGAGCATATGGCCCTCTTGGTCAAAGATGTGATAGCACTTCAAGATGAGCGTAGCACTCTGAAACATGAGCTTTCTGAGATAATGGAGAAGCAAACCCAACAAACCATCACATTCTCGAATGAAAAAGCCAAATTTTGTCATGACATGGAGCGAATGGAAGAGCATTGGAGCAACGAAGTAGGCAAACTTAAGGAGCAGAATGAGGTTATGGAAAGAATGCTATTTGCTGCCACGAAAGATTCGATGGATAAGAAGGAACTGTTTGAAGAGGAAATCAAGGAGCATAACCAGAAAATCGAGGAACTCGAATGCCTACTGAAGGTTCAAGCAACGATGTCCGACAGAAAAAGTGAACAATTTAAAGGCGAAATCGCCGAGCTGAAAGATCAACTCGAGCAGGCCAAGACTGTTCAGGAAACTGCTGTGAGACAATGGGATGATGAGTGTGCCGATTTGGAAGATGAAATTAACACTCTTCTGGAGAAAAGAAGTACGGAAACGAAGAAAATGAGAACGATGACAAGAAAGAACGTTTGGCTAATCAAATCTATCAGAAAACTCGCCGAACAAAGACGAGCTGAAATCGATTCAAAGCAAGTTGAGATCCAGAAATTGACAAAGCTTTGTGAACTACAAAGATTGGAGAACAACGAATGCCTCAGCAATTTGAAGGAAGAAATGAATGCGTGGAAGGAAGATAGTGCAGTCAGGCAGGAGTTGGAAGTTGAGGTTGCGGACCTTAAGAATCATAATACCGCATTAGAGAACAGAGTAGTGAGAATGCTTGCCCGTTCCAAAAGCGAACGAGAAGATTATTTGAGGAATATGGAAATACTCAGATCGGATTCTGACTTTGATCTCAGCCGGGCTGAAGCAAATTTAAATACCGCCAAGAAGGAAAAAGAAGAACTTTCCATGCAGATTCAAACCCTGAAAGAAGTTATTGAAGAGAAGGAACGTACTTTGGCAGTACAGAAGGTTGAATCAAGCAAATTGCTGGAAGCCACTCTCAAATCGCTGACCACCGAGATGGATAATATTCGTACGGTGATGAACATGGAGAAGGATCGAATTTTGGATGAGAAAGCTTTGCTTACTAATCATTTGGCGGCAAAGAATGAGATTATTCAGGTGAGATTATTAAGACCAGTCTACTCTAATCTATCTGTTTTTAGACTCACGAAATCGATAGAAAAACATTAATTGAAGCCATCGCGAAGATCTCGCAGATGGAAAAGGAGGCCCAGTCGTCGTACGAACAGCATGAGTACGAATGTTCTATGTGGCGCGCGGAAGTCCGTCAGTTGAAAACGGACAATAAGATGCTAAAGGAAAATATGGGAGTGGAGGTGCTGGAGGATCAATCTTCGGACGATTCGAGCTGCTCGGATGACTCGGATTGCTCTGATGAATCTGATTCGGAGGAGGATGGCTATGATATGCCTAAACCAGAAGAGGTTGAGAAGAAAGTTTCGAATGAATGGGAAATGGTCCATGAAGATGAAGATGAATGTAAATAAAGTGTAATCGACAATTGTAAATAACCATAGTTGTACATAAACCTACTTTTGATCTACTGATAACAAAAATATTCAATCCAATTTTTTTGTTACAAAACCTTTTTGTACAGTTGTAAATTCACCTTGTACTAATTTGAAATTGAACCATCGCTTTCTATTGTAACCAACTTTTTCTAGATATTCTCTGATTCATAAACTTTATTCACTATCCAGCATACTGCACAAAACTCGTATGATCAGGGGCTTATGAGACTAAATAAAACGATGATCGGAATGGAACCATTGAAATATTGAACAAAATATCAAGAAGTCCTTACAAGAAACGTTTATTTCATCACCCAAAGCTGTTGAAACAGAAGCCGCGGTGTAGGGGATAAAACCTAATTATTGTAGTGAGAAAACTTGATTTTGGATTCGTGGGCCTCGGGAAGAAGTTTCCATTTTCTATTATACAGAATTAGTCAGAGATGAACACTAGTGCCAGCAAAAAATAAATAACCGGAAAGAATACAATAACAAAGAAAAATATGAGAGGGAGCTTGATCCAAGCCTGAACAATAAATAGGGTTGGACGACCGAAACTTTATGAAAATGGTAGTGGGTGACATGTGAAGAGAAGTTATTTGTACATTCCTCTATTGCTTCATTTGATCGTTAGTCGTTGATGTTTTCTGTGTGGAACGATCCTTGGATGGAGCACGAATCCCATGAAGTCCTCCAGCAGAAGGCATTCTGTAATTGTTGGAATATATATTCCATCCTTGCTTCCATATCTTCTACCTCGAAATATACAGTATCCCGCTGTACCATTTTACTTTCTATTTCCAGTAGATTAGTGCAAATAACGCGAGCATTGTGTACCTACCCTAGCCACTCTATCTCACTTTTCTCTTTCCCTTCTTCCTACCTTTGTTTTTGTAACCTTGGACTATTACATCAGCCTCGATGCCCCACCCACAGCATACTGTTTAACGGGGTCCTCATGCTAGAGTCTTTGCGAATATAGAGAGTCTAGAGAAACCGCAGGGTGCGTTGTCTCTTCCCTTTCTGCTGCTCCGCCTCGTTTCATCTTGTGCATATTCTCGCAGAGTGCCCCCACCTCTCCACAGCAGTCTCTCTGCGCTACTAATCGTCATTGCATATCTGACTATCGACTTGCTTTGAATTGATTTTTGCTAGTGTTTCGCATCGCTTCTGCTGTATTGAATAATTTCTCTTCATTCTATCGTTTGACGACTTGCAGACTGAATCACATGATCACTTCACTATTTCAGGTTGACTTCAAGGCTTGGTTCGATTAAAAATGTCTTCCGAATCGATCGATTTTTCGATGGTATCTCGCCTCCTCCAGGAAATTCAAAAGTTGAAAGATGTGGGTTATTCTATCTACCTCAATTATTGAAATCTCGTATATATCAATTCTATTCCATTTTTGAAGACGGTGAATGCATCTTTAACAAAATTCGACTTTTTTCCAGGAAGCGAAAGACAGTACTGAAGCTCTAAACACTCAGAATTCTAAGCTCCTCAAGGAAAATGAAAAATTGAAGGAGGTAAGACCAATTGTAATAAGCCTGACATAACGAGCTATTTATTTGCAGGAAAAGAATATTCAAGAGGAGCTCGCAAAAAAATTCAAGATATACGCCACTTTGCTTGAGAGCATGCTCGACAATGCACGGGAGGAACAGAACACCGAATCTTCTCAAGTGAACGATCCCACACTGGAAGAGATGCGAGAAACAGTGAACCGCCTCCAACGTGAAAAAGACGATCTCAATGATATGATGGACGAGTTCAAGGCGATGTGGAAGAAGGATTCGAAAGATTTCCTAGAGACACTGAAGATTGTGAGGAAGGAAGAGGCAGACATGAAGGCGAAATTTGATCGACAAGAACAGCGTCATATCAGGGACCAAGGCTTGATCCATGAAGCCTATGGAAAGATGCAATTGGTAGAGAACGCTCGTAGGATTACGTTGGATGCAAATGTTCATATGGAACAAGAGCTAAGAAGGAATGTTGCAGAAGTAGACGTATGCAAGAAACAGATTGAGGAACTTTCCAAAGAGAAGGCTGCATTGGATTCCAAACTGAAACAACAAGAATCTTGGATGCAGACACAATCTGCTGAGCTTTCTACAGCTCTTGCTGAAATGTTCAAAAGTAGGGAGATAGCAGCTCGTCAAATTAAGGATTTAAAGGAGAACTATCAGCTGTTACAAAATTCTCACGCACAAGAATTGGCAGCAGTCAAGAAGCAAAAAGAAGAGGACAAAGAGTATTTTGAGAATGAAAAAGCTTATTTGTCCGACAGGATGAATAAAGCCATCTATGAAGTAGAGGTACTTCAGAATAAGGCAACCTGGCTCGAGGCATCACTAAAAACGACCACAGAAAACAGCGCAGAGGCGACACGAAAGTTCTTGGCCATCGAAAAAGATTTGAACGAACAGCTGAAGGAAATCGAAGAAAGGTTGGAGAAAAAATCGAGAGAATATGAAGAAGCTTGCGATGATGTTAAAAGATCCAAATCAGTTATTAGCGAATGTCAAGTGAATTTTGCTTCCACGCATAATGCCTTGGCTCTGAAGCACTTGAAACTTGAAGAAAAGGAAGCTGAGATGTCGCAGATTCGTGAACAACTAGGAGCTACACTCCGAAACTGCTTAGACGAGAAGGAAAAATTGGAACAGAAGCATCAGGATACCATTGCCGCAGTCCAACAGCGTTTCGTTTACCAAATCGAAGAAATCAAGCACAACAACATGTTGGCTATCAATCAGGAGATGATCAAGGCTCAGATGGCACTGGATTCCGAAAAGAAGAAGAACGCTCTTGAGAACGACGCTAATCAAAAAAAAATGGAGAAAATGGCAGCCGAAATCGAGCGAGCACAGAGAGAGCTGAGAGCTTCGACGGCAAAAATAAATGTTCTCACCAAAGACGTTATCTCGCTCAGTAACGACAACGACCGAATTGAAACAGAATGCGCACACCTCAAGGACGACCAGGTTATCAATCGTACCAAAATCTCTTCATTGAAGACGTATATCGGAAAACTGGAGACAGCAGCTTTCGAAGCAGAGGAGAAACACCAAAGTGAGATGAATGAGCTGAGGGATGCAACCAGAAGTCTCATGGAGAACATGGGAGTTGAAGAATTGGATGAATGTAATGATAATGATTCAACTGTCGTCACCCAAGAAAAAACAGAGTCAGCAGAGTGGGAATTGGTTGACGAAGAGTGAGAATACTTTTTTTTTAATTTCGAAGTTGATTTTTTTCTTTTCCCCAATCATGTATTTTTGTTCATATTCATATCTCCCACTTTCTCTCAGGCCAGTTAGCATCCCATATGGCTTTCACCTTACTTCTGTCATACATTGTATCACCAATCCCCCCGCCCTTGTAATGTTCGTTCTATTCAATGTGCAATAAACCCATGTTTTTGTTTTCTCATACCCCTTGTTGACGCTGTACACGTAGGATGGGACTGGACGAACGGCAGACTTGCGAATGCTCGCGTTCGGACCATCATGAGAAATGCGAGCCGGAGTAGCAGTTGACTTCGGAGTTGCCAGACGATTGAAAAGATCGGCACGAGAAACTTTCTAAAGTATACGCATTTTTGGGACAGGGGTTTTTTTGAAGATTACCGATGCGGATGGTGTAGAAGCAGCAGGTGGTGGAGGAGCACTGCGATCCACAGATCTAGCACGTGTGACAACGTGTGGCACGCGAGCAGGGCGTTGCCCAGAAGATGGCTGGAAGAAATATTTCGATAAAAATTGAGAAGAAAGAAAAATTTAGGTTACCATTGCTGGTTTTTTGGCCATGGAGCTAGGAGTGCTCGGGTTGACACGTAGTGGCTGCCGAATGCGAGTTGTTGCCGTAGTCGGGACAGCAGGACGTGTAATCAATTTCTTCGGTTGTGCCTCAGATTCAGCTGTGATTGAAACAGGCGGAGCAGTAAGCTTGACAGTGTTCATTCGAAGAATAGATGAACGATTGGCTGTAGCAATCGGACGGTTCTTTGGTGTCATCTTACTAACAGACACCGGAGCTCTAGTTGCTGAAGCAGATCGACGGGGTGGCGCAACTGGAGTGGCGGCTCCTGAAGGTTTCACAGGCATCACACTGCGGCGAACAGATGTTCCAGTAGTGTTTGTACGACGAGTACGATCGCGAGATCTATCTCCACTTCCCGGCGCAGTCTCTTTTTTCAATGTCGAAACAGGTGTTTTTTGAGCAACTTTGAGTGGCATAACACTGCGACGAACCAAAGGCTTAGTCGAAGTCTCAGCGGCACGAGCCGCCATAGCTCTTGTCACGACTCCAGTGGCAGTAGCATTGATCGGTGCAGAAATGGTACGGGTGACAGAATTGTGACGAGAGCGAGGAATAGACGATTCCCGCTTGGTTGTTGAGGATGGTTCACGAGATATAGATCTCTTCGTGCTGATTGAACGAGCTCGGTTGACAGAACTCGCTGGTACACCAGATCGCCGTTTGTTCTCTTCCTCTTCGTTTCGTTTTTTCTGCTCTGATCGACGACGCTGAGAAAGACGCTCTTCTGGTTCTTTGGGAGCGAACATCGTGAGTTTTTCGAGACCCTCAATCAATTGGCTTTCACCATACACTTTAGATTGAGCTGGAATGGCTGCTTCATTCGGAACAATCTTCAGTGGCTCTCTATTGTTATGAGACGGCTGCTGCTTCACAGATGTAGTATCTTGTTGCTCGGCATTAACAGTAGTTTCGGAAGAAGCAGATGATGAAAGGAAGTTATCCATGTTGCCAGCGGGAAGTGCATCGTCGGAGTTGCGATTAACAGCTGGGAGCCGCATTTTGACTGGAGTATCACACTCTAGGTTAGCTATAAAGAGAAATTGAGGATGAAGGACTAAACTAGTATTCCTTACGGAAGTGTTTTTCGAAATAAGACGAATCGCATGGCTGATCTCTGCTTGGAGAGCTTGACAGCCTCGAGTAATCTTTCACTTTGGGTACAGCGATGCTACTGAAGAAGTTTTCATCAAACTCTTGAATAGTTTGATTCTTGCTCATTTTCTGGAAAACTACATAAAGATTAAAGTACAACAGACCAAAAAAATATGAAGTGATAGTAACGCGTTAAGAAGTATAGAATATAATTGACCAAACAGCATTTATTCACAGAAAAAGGGGATGGGAGTGGTCACTTGAATACGGAAGAGTTTGAAAAACTATAGACCAATTATAGAAAAAGATGGAGAGGCGATATCTTGTGAAAACATAATTGATAGAAAACATTATCTCGCTGCCGGCGTAGAGATGTCGAGTAGTGAGGAACTATTTCAGCTCATTCTACGATTTCTTCGAGTGGTGTACGAGACACATTCCCAGGTCCCGCTGGGGATCTCCAGACCGCCGAGGAACCACGTTTCTTCATTTTGACAGTGTCACCGAAAATTTCTTTCAGATTTGGCTGAAATATGACATTATCTTTCATCATATCTTTGTTTCTCCACAACTAACCTTCTCAATTACTCCGAAAAATTCAGCGATGTCAAACGGTGGATTTTTGACTTGACGACGAACGTTTTGCCGGACAATCACAAAATCCGCCCACGGAGGAACTTCCTTACGCGGATCGTCTTCTTGATCTGTTTCATCGTCACTGTTCAGATCATTTAGTCCGTAGTCATTCTTCGAATTTGCTTGGTACGTGCGTGGCGGAGTCATTTGATAAGCGGTTGAAGGTGGCTCCTTGCCTTGAGCTTCTAGCTTGGCCTTCTTCTCAGCTTGCTTGGCAAGTGTTGCTTGAAGTTCGGCGTCTTCTCTGGCTTGCTGCTTTCGAAGTCTCTCCTCTTCTTCTCTTTGAGCTTCTAATAACCGGGACTTCTCTTCTTCAGCTCTCTTTCGACGTGCTTCTGCTTTCTCTTCGGCAGCCTTTTTCTCTTGCTGGAGCCGCTGTTCTTCTGCTCGAGCTCTTAATTCGGCAGCTGTCTTCTCCTGTAGGAATCGTTGCTCTTCAGCTCGAACTTTTGCATCGGCTGCTTGTTTTATAAGATATTGTTCTTGTTCTGCTTTCAGCACAGCCGCCCCGTCATCCTCCGCTGTAGACTTAGAAGACGAGGGGACGGTGTGAGTTGGTTGTGAACGCTTCGCCTTCAATCTTGGCTTCGGTTGTTTGACTGGCACGATTCCTTCTGATTCCATCTGCTCTCCTTTTACTTGACGATTTGAGTTTCTCAGGGGATCACGTGACGGCTGGAGTATTATATGACATAAATAGCTAAATATACTAACTCACCGAAATTTGGACAGTTGCTTGGGCAACCGTGACTCCTTCCTTCTCAGCTCCGAACACTTCAATGCGTCCTTTCTTAGCTGGACCCCTACCCGGTGTTGCTGCGTCTGAAGTTGTTGGAAACACTTTCCTAGCGGATTGTTTCATTGCCACAGGAGTCCTTGCTTCAGGATTCACGCGGGTTCTTGTGGGTGACTTATGATGGTCCTTCATGTTTTTCTGAAAGGTCGCGACACGTTCGTCCTTCTTTTTTATTCCATCCAGTTTCTCCATTCGAATTCGATCCAACTCTTGCTTCCGTTGCAGAACCGCTGCTCGATTCTCTTCCGCTTTTCGAGCCTTCTCTCGCTTTTCTTCCAATGCTTTATTTCTAAGCTCATCCGCGTGCTTCAACTTTTGGTCAGGATTTTTTTCGGCTTCTGAAAATGGGATGGCGCGATGCGGAGTCCTTGGCGGAGCGACAACTCTACTTGGAGTAGCGATACCTTTCCCAGGTGTGGACGGGAAGATGTTGCGAGGCGTGCCATGGTTCCCGTGAGCTTCACGAGGAGGGTTTCTTCTTGGCGTCCCACTGTATGCAGCATTACGGGATAAACTGCTGGACTGCGCAACTGCTTTCCTTGTAATACTCATTTGTTCCATGCGGATTAATGTCCTCGGAATCGCGATTTCTTCGAACTCCGCATCTGTCATACCGGCA